CCATTATGTATGGAATATATGATATTTAAAATATGGAAACTGCAATGCCAAATTTTAATTTTAATAATTCTCAATATAGTAATTCACAATTTTTCCCAAATTGTAATAACTGGTATGACATAATAATTTATGATTCTTTCCAAATTTTAATAATTCCGTTATGTGTGGAATACATGACATTTAAAATATGGAAATTGCAATGCTATTTGGCCATTTGCCAAAGTTTCTCTGCAATGCTACACTCTAAAAGGATAAACCATGCTAACAGAGAAATTGAACAGGCTCATATCCTGCATAATACCATATTTATGGTATTAACCCACTATCAAAAAAGAGTTTAATAATTATAGGACAAAAGTCAAATTCCAAGAAATATTAATTTAATTATTCGACATAATTTTCTACCAAGAAAATAAACAGAAAAGAAAAAATAAAAATTGCAAAAACAAAAAAGAGAAATAAATTTTTCTTTTATTCTGTTATTCAGATAAAATCATTATTTAAAACCTTTTATTTAATATCTCATATCATAAATCATTAACTTTGTAGAGTATGTCTTATTATTGCTAACGCCGCCATTTCCTAAAATACCATAAAACCTACAAGCACGCTAAAGGTGTTTGAATTCAATGAAATTACTTCTAGCAGACATTAACTTCCGCATAAATTAAAAACTTAGAAAGCGGAATTCGTTACGCTTCACTTTCATACATATTGAAATTATGCACCTCGGTTAATGAATATTGAGAAATTTCCGTCGGTTATGAAGGCTGTCTTAATATATCATTCTTCCGGCCACAGAATCGCGAAACAAATTTATAATTCTATGTAAATATTAACGCATTTCAACAAAGAAATTCCATGTGACACGATAGATTTTAAATACACGTGAAATGCTTCAGAATCTAGTAACCAAACGTGTCCTTATGGCGCGTTCGCACTAGTCGAATTGCTTGAACGCAAGTCATTCGAATGATTACTTGACCAACTTGAATCCGATATTTATTTCCCTTAAAATATCTTTCTAAACTTGCTTCAAATTTGAAATGAAATGTAATTTTGCAATTTTAATTATATCAAAATAAGTATGTGAAGTATGAAATTGAAATAAGCTTGGAAAGTGAGGTTATTGTCACATATAAGAATCACTGAAATAAGGATAAGATTACTAAGAGAAGTATTATATTAGCAATGAAAATGAGAAATGTAAAGAGATCAGTAGCCTATAATTAAATTATAGATAATTAAATAGGAATTAAGTATTCATTATCAAGGAAATTTCATTAAACGACGAATCCACTAGCGTCACTTTAGATTCTACATCAAATACACATAAAACAAACTTGAAGTAAACTTACACCACTGTACACGAACTTCAAGTCAAGTGAGTTGAAGTTGACTAACTTGAGTAGTGTGAACGAGGCTTTACGCATCGATTTAAGCTTAAGGCTACGTGAATACAATACTATCTACGTTCCTACAATTTTTTTTTTTTTTTATTATTATAAAATAGTAAAGTATATATCACTGCAAATTATGAACATAAATTTATAAATAAAAATTATATATATAAAAATTAATTGTAACATTAATTACCTAAGAGTAGTTATTTCTTAATAATTTATTATTAGATCAATACTTATGTGCAAAAGAAGTCAAATATTTTATATGCAATTAATTTCTTGTTATATAAATTTTCAAATGCAGTGCATTTCAGTAATTTTTTATTATATGGTCATTAAGACAGCAGCGCCATCTATGAGGGGTTACTGCGCAGAACTTGCAAACGCAACGAGTTTCTTTTTCATACTGCAAGCTAAGCATACTTTCGTAAGAAAATTCTTCATTCTCGTACGACTTACTTGAAGAATGGTGTGCTTGATCAAGACTGATATCGAAACATACACCATGACAAAATAAATCGCATTCTACTGTTAGAACAAAAACCGTTACTCTGCAATTATTAAGCCCATTTCGCACGTGTCTGAAAACGAGATTTCTCATCTCCCATCGCTAACGTACCTTTATGTAAAAACCTTAATGTTATAATAATTATGTTACAAAACGGTACACGTACACTAACCTTATGCAAAAACACCAAAGATAATAATCGTCCATGATGTGCAGAAATAGAATAGGAAATTACCAATAATGAACAATTAAAAACCAATTAACTGAAATAATTATAATCCTATTTCACTTCAATCGAATTAACAAATTTATTATTAAGTTTGATCAACCATATTCCAAATAATATTATTTTCATTAAAAAATGACCAAGATAGAAAATTTATTTCAAATTCCAAAATTTGAACTTCCAGAAATAAGAATCTTTCTTTTACACTTTAAAGAGTTTTAATCAACAACGGCTGAAAAAATATTTATTTCTATTTAAATCGACTAAATAGCAGTTTAGTAAAAAATATATTATATCGAAAATGTAGTAAAAAAAAAAAAAGATTTAAAATTGAATACGAAATATTTTTCGTCCTGCCCTCAACCGGCCAATCCCATAATTACTTTAAACACGGAACGCGCGCTCTCTGCCGTAATAACGTATCATCGACTATCGATGTCTGCCATCTTCGCCAAACGGACGAGTTCGAAGCGACTCGGCGCATAAATTCGTAATTCGGTTTTCCGCGTAAAACGTTTCAATGGCGGGCGAGCGTTGAAAACACACTCGGCCGGCGCGCTTTGGTGGAGCGACGATTTCAAGGGATTAATGTACGCCGTGCCGCTTCGTCGTTTGCACTCATGAATAAAGAAATATCTCGACGGTACTCCACCCATAAAACACACGGTTATTTTGAATTCGTTCTCCCGCACACGTCGTATGTCCAGACACGTGTTCGTATATGTGCACGGCTTCGCCGATACATAATACAGCAATCTATATCTTTCGTTTAACACGGTAGACAATCATTCGATCCCGAAGCCAAAGCGTCCAACTATGCGAGAGCAAATATATTCCCAAGAGAAATTATTGATCTTCTTCGATATTTTTATTCGTATTTCTTAAAACTCTTCGTCTCATTTTTACGCAGGTAAATATGTTTCAGTGAATATTAATGCACGTGTGATGTTAGATTTTGTAATATTCATAACCTCATTGCGAGTCATAAATCGAGAAAGAAAATTGCAGCTTCTAAAGCGTAGTTTAATAATTACGGTGAAAAGAACCAGCTCACGGAAATTAAATATTTTAGATGTGACTCGGTGTATAAATGAATGAAATAAATAACCATTCAGTTTCTAATGAGACCTAGATTTTTACCTGTCTTATTAAAGAGGTTAGAATCTCGAATTATTTAAATGAATAATTTATCGAAATGTAGCACTAGATCCGAACGTGAGATGACGAGGAAATACTCGTTCGTGATCAGGTTAGGTAAGCTATAGAGTAACCGTCTAAATCAACCGCGTGCAAACGCACGGTCCGCTCCGATGTTCCGACTTTTACCGAATGCTCACGATTCGATACAAATTAGCGCGTGTTCAAACTAGATGCGCAGTCGCACAGCGCAGCGTTGCAGATTTCGTGTAGACCCGGCATGGTAGAAACGTTACGTCGTAAATTGATTAAATTCGATTATACATATAAAACGTAATATCACAGAATAAAACAGTTACATATTTCTTATATTTTTCTCTATTGAATATCAATAGGAGCTTCTGCATTAATCGTTTATACATTAATAATAAATTTATTCCGATACATTTTAAAATAGGTTAGAAGATGAAAAGATGAGACAACCTCGTTAGAAAAGGATGAAAAATATCTTTACGAAGATATTATTTATGAAGCATTGCTACATCATAATAATTTATATATTTTATTATGCAATTATTACTGATAATAGAAAGAAAGAAGTAAAATAGAAAATAAAGAGAAAATATATATAAAATCACAGACGAATTAACAAATTTATAAATATATATATTTGGTTTAATCATTTCCCCCAAATTAATCAATTGATCTCGATTTTCGGTCTTGCTTGCTCTCAATTAAGCCGGTTAATCGGGTAACCCACGGTATAATATTATAGAACGTGTATATCATAAATTTATCACATCACTATGAAGTAGAATAAAAATACCGTTGAATGATAAAGTAACGTAAAAAATTCGAAAAGACGAGAATTAAATTGAAGAATATGCTATACGTAAATTATAGTTAATTATTACGCTAATTACACGATTTCATCCTTCCGTACCGTTAATTGCGAGAAAAGAGAGAGAATACTGCAATGACAAATTAAATTCGTAAAAATAGCAGAATCATTTTTAATTTCACTTTATCGGTAATTCGATACACTAGCGTAGTACTACCGTTAATTTCGCGTCGCGAGTTGTGAACGCTGCTTTATGCTGCGAACGAGATGAATTTGTCGAATGACAGAAGTGACACGCATGCGAAGACCTATCGGAAAAAGATGATCCAAGATTAGCGAGGTAACCGTTGAAAGTACGTGCGAAGTTAGCTATCGGATTTCTTGGGAGGGCAGAAAACGTTTAAAATGTCAACAAGGTCGAAAGGCCGGGCGAGTTAATCGGCGCATGAATGTCACGGCGAATTTTAATCACCAAGCGCCATGTAGTATAAGATTGTAACAGACGTCTGCAGAGAACGATAAATTCGCGGTAAAATGCCGATCAATAAAACAGCTTCGACAGTGATAATATTAAAAGAAAATAGTTCACACGTGTACGCGACAAATATCAGTTACGTAAATGCAGAGAATTCAAAAATATTCGTAACTGCGAAACGCTACGCCTATGGAAATGAATCGAGTTAAAAGAAAAAGTGTAACGTATTATATCACGCTTTAGAAAAACGAAAGAAGACTCGAGTATGTCAACAAGCATCGATCGATAATGATGACGCATACATGTCCCGTGCGATCTAACGGTCCATTGATAAATCATCGATGAAAAGTCGGATTAAACAGTTCAGACGGTGTACAATTTACAAAAGCAAATTAGAAAGAAGAGCTTACGTTGCCCGTTGGACCTGCTTCGCAGCAACACAAAGATCGCCAAATATTTCTCTTCCAGAGATCGTCCGTGATCACTGTTGGTCCCTTTGTCCGAGCTTTACGTGAAGAAAATGCAGAACGCTACGGCACACGAGAGACGCGCGTAATCCGCGAAAGGCCGAAGCCTCCGGCTGCTTCTCCTCTTCGGTAAGAAAATCGAGACATATAACGGAGTACTTCTCTTTCCACTGTCACTATGAACTTGTTATCCGAACCGTGACCGGCCGCAATTACACGCGATCCCGATCAAGAGATACGTACGCACAAAGTACCGTGACTGACGAGAACGGTGAATTTTCGTCAGTTCGAGCTAGCGTCGGGAAAACCACCCCCTGCACAGCCGGCGCCCCAACAGCCATGTGCCGCCCTAAACCTCCGCCCATTGGCCCGAACGAAACATTCTACGGGCTCCTGATTCTTCCAAGACTCTTTTTATTACACGTGAAATCGTACTCGACAAGAATTTTGAACGCGCGCTCGGTTAACCGTTTAGTCTGTGTTACGTTATCATGAGAGACAACTCTGCACGACCCATCCCTGCGGGAGCTCACCGAGAAGGGGGAATGGGAAAAGGCCGACTGACAAGACGTCACGTCTCCCGGGAGCGCTTCGATCTCTCTGAACTCACCATATCTATCGCACAGCTGGCCGCGTGTCTACGCATAACACTGGTGAACGCACCAGGGCCGTGAGACAGCCCGTAATTTCGACGTCGTAAAGCAGAAACGTGGAAAAACTTCGCCAAATGATTCACACACCGCACACAGTCTTCACCCGCGAATTGAGAAAATGGCGTTGCTTGCTCCCTCGCGCTCGTTCACTCTAGCAATACCTCAAGCTACGCTGATTTCTATCGTTGACTACTAGCGCTCATTCCTTGATGCGAGTAAACTGATAACTAATGCGCGGGAGAATCAAAACACTTTTTCTGGTACAAAATAACGGTTCTCGTACTATAGAATATTCTTGCATTTCTAATAAAAATTTTATCAGAAAATTTAATTGACTTGTTATTTCGAGAAAAATTATAAAACGAATGTATGTTACAAAGTAAATTTTGAAAAACTTAAAAGAAAATTCTTCACGTTCAAATGAAGAACATATTTTTTAAGAAATATGTGGCGCCACTTGCCGGACGTGAGTCTTACAGGATGAAACGAAAATATTACCGGTTTATCCGAATGATGCCGCGTAATACTTTAATGTGTAAAGAGTAAACTAAACATTCATAATTGTATAAACATAAATCTCAATTTGATTTTAGTAAAAATTTAAAATAATTTAATATATAATACAGAATTTTATTCTGTGATGGCTGACGAAACAGAACAGGTAAAAGAGCTTAAAACCATGAATACAAATCTAACCTATCATAACCTCATATTCTCATTTCAGGTACCAGCGATAAATGTTAAAGAACCTTTAGACCTTATAAGATTGAGCCTCGATGAAAGAATATATGTTAAAATGAGAAATGAAAGAGAATTACGTGGACGATTACATGTAAATATCATTTTTTTTTTACTGCATATTGTATCTCTCTTAACCTATTTTGAATCAAGTGATCATATAAAAAGTTTGATTTCAGGCTTATGATCAGCACTTAAATTTAGTTTTGGGTGAAGCAGAAGAAACAGTAACTACGATAGAAATTGATGAAGAAACATACGAAGAAGTTTATCGTACAACTAAAAGAAATATTTCTATGTTGTTTGTACGTGGCGATGGAGTAATTTTAGTTTCTCCTCCTAGCATGAGGGCACCAATATAAAATTCTTATATAAATGTAATTTGTCTAAAACTAAGGAACAAACAATAGAGAATTTAATTCTATGTTGATATAATTTTATCAACATTATGTGTTAGCATTTAAAAGTAATCATATAAAAATCAAGAAAATAATAGATTTCAATTGGATAAATATCTGTGACATAGGTATAAAATTCTTAAATGTGATAATGCAAATTAAATTTTGGTACATTATATTAAGACAATATATTAATTAAAAATTTATAAATAATACAAATTTTTGCGGTAATATTATTTAAAGTAGTCTGAAAGCATTTGATTTCAACAGTTCTAAGTTATATTTTCGTTCGAAATTTTGAAAGTATGTTAGATGTAGGAGTAAAATGTATAGATCTTGGAGAAATATTTTGTTCTATAGGTTTGATTATTTGCGATGTAAGATCTGTGATTCTTTGATCTTTCAATTTCATCAAAGATTCTAAATGAGAGACCTTTTGGTAAAGCGTATTTATTACTTCATTTTTCTCTTCTAATTCTTGTTTTAGTCGAACGAATACGTGACGTGGAACTGTTTTATTTGCTATTTCTTCAGGATTAAGTATTGATTTAACTACTTCTCCTTAAGAAATAAGATTTTTCTCAAATCATTTCTGGTACAAATTTTTTTCAAGATTTAATTTGTAATTATTTACTTACCTTTGTTCTCATTTTCCTCATATTCAAAATATAAGGAATTCCTATCCGCATTACAATCTTTTAAAATTTTAGTTCTCACATCGGTTAAAACTTTTTCAATAACACCAGCTTGTGAATTTGCGAGTTGATTAATCACATCTTTTCCTAATTTTATGTCCAATTTTGAAAGAACCTTGCGATTTAGTGTACACCAATTATCTATTTTCTTTGCAATGCTATTTCCAGGAATATAATTATGTATGTCGACGAGCTTAGGGTAGTATCGCTTTAACAATTCAGCCATAAAAACTAGAATTTATTAAAGTACTTTTTAAATATCGCAAACTAAATTGTCAATATATATTATGAAATATAAACTTCGTCTAATACCACCATCGGAGAAATCCCGAGCAACATTTTTTTTTGGTTTGGAAAATGGTATTTGCTCGATCCAAGTATATATTTCTTCGAGATTCGTATTAGACTCTAATTCGACGCTCATATTTCTTTTTCACATACAACATTAAAATTCCAAAATGACTTTTTTTATATATTAAAATTTACAAATGACATCGTTATATTTTTGTTAAATTCTGTCAACCTACAAATTTGTATTAAGCCAAAGAATGTATACTACGTGCTCTTTACGAATACAACTTCATTTTAGTTTTTGTGCATCTCGTTGCAAGCGTCACCTGTTTCTTACGTCAGATTGAGTAACGGTAAACGGAATGATACGGAAATTTGAAAGTGTTGCATCTTACGTATCTAGAGGAATGAAATCGAACGTGATGAAAACCTATTAAAAATAATTTTTTCTTCCAATCTATCTAGTTTAAATATATACATAAATTTTAAAATAAATACCAATCAATCAAATGCTCTATAATTTTGTATATTTAAAATATTAAGGATCCTTAACTACTTGAAACAAATATTTTATTATTATACAATTTTGTAAGTAATTAAAATGTTATTAATTACTAAAGTATATTTATTAATTTAATTGCAAAATAATATTTTATTACTTTATGAAACAATAAAATCCCTTAATAACTTAATCGTTAATTACCTATCAATTTAATTACTTCATCATATAATTCATAATGCATCACAACAAAGGTCCGAGTACAATTTTCATTCAACAAGTCACGTTTCATGCATTTCAATTATTTCTACTAAAACCTTCTCGCACTGCATAGTTACACTCTAATATTGAGATCTATAACGTCAAGCAAATATTGCTTCCACGTGCATTAGCGATCGTGTAAAGATAGACTCTGAGGACAAATGTTTGTACGTGCATTTTAGTAAAAGTGGAGAGGAACGTTCTCGGAATCAATGGGTAGGTTCCGTGGAAATATCAACACGTCACGTTGTCGGAAGCGTTGAGGACGATAGGTTTGAGCCTGCGTTCACGCGGACTATGGCATTTATAGAAGAGGCGCACGCCCGGCTCTTCCGAGAAGCAGCGCTATCGTTCTCAGTGGTACGTTGCACGCACGAGGAATCGAACCAGAGGGAACCATAGTTCTTAATTTAAACGAGTCTTTCGAACGCTATCTGAAATCGGTTAAAATTAAATGTTAAATCCATCGAGCGTATTGTATCTGAAAAATTCCATTTTCTCGGCGAATTTAAATCGCGTGAAAACGAAAGTGTCGGGTGATTGGCCGTTAATTGTGAACGTTATTAGGACGATAAGATCTTAATTGTACTATTGTAAGAAATTTTATTCGAAGGCGTTTCGAAAGGCCTGCACCTCTAAACAGAGAAAATACTCGCTGTTAGTCATTGACCCAAGAGAAACCATGACTGGAAAACACCATCTTAAGGGTGAGTAATTATAGTCTTTCACTCTTGATACGTTATGAACTAGAGATTCGATATTAATAACATGGTTTTGGTTAAGTGGAGAGGGTTGATTGATTTACGGCTCCCGTAAAGTTTCGTTCTTGAGACTCCATCCTTGTGACCTTCAAATGTCCTCTGGTCCAGATTAGCATAGGGCGAATATACTTTAAGTTTTTCTGCGAAATATTTCATTTTAAATTATCAGATAATTTCGTGGATTTAATATAAGATTAAGGGAAATGTGTCATATTGGTATTTAGATAATGATGCAATTTAAGTTGGAACGATTATCAGTTCGTAAATCGCGCCGTTTCTGTCTATGGTACATTCACCTCCTTGCTATTTTATAATTAAGATAATTCTTCCTCGTATCAGTGATACATAAATTATTCTTGTAACTTTCCCTCTCACCATATTTAGCTACAATTTTAACCGCTGTTCGCGTGGGTATACCGTGAACAAAAATTGGAATAAAATTTCAAAATAAAATTAATGAAGCGCATTTTGTCGCGCAATAAATTTATTTATCGATCGTTTTATTTGACAAGTGCGTAAATATCTGGAACTACGTTCTACGTGTTTGTTGACCTACATCTGGCCTGAAAATAAATGCGTGGAATGGAAAAACAGTATTTAGGTCTGAAAGCTTATAAACCGAGCTTTCGTTGAATTGTCTCGAGCTTGTCTGCTTATAGTAATCATTCCTTTTTTTTATTGGCAAATAGTTAAATACTTATCGAATGGAACGTGATAAAATATTGTATATCAACACGAAAATATGCCACGTGATAGAAATGTGTAATTACAACATTCTTTCACAATGTTTGTTAGTGTACTTTACTTTTCCTCGTAATTCTTACATGTCAGTTGAGTTTCGACATTGATAACATTAATCGTAGCAAAAAATTGTTATTAATTTTCACACGTGATATTGGTGTCTCTTTAATTCTTTTATGCAAATGAAACATGCATTTGAAATTTGGAGAACAAAGTAGAAGTTGATAAAATTTCACAGAAAAATATAGAATAAAAAATCTAGAACGAGAATATGATTAAAAATAATTTACAATATCTCAAAATGCATAGACAAAATATAATTTGATATATTAATTCTTAATAAAAAATGTACACCAAAAATGTAATTTCTGATAAAAATATGGAATAAAAGTATAATTTAAAATAATTTAAAAATATTTTTAAATTAACACAAATTGATATAATTTTCGATAAAAAATATAGGACAAAAATGGAAGTTAATATAATTTTTCATAGGAACAGGCGGGAAAGGAATAATTCGATATAACTCGATATTAAAACACAATTCGGGAAATAAAAATATAAATATAATATACATGCGTAAAAATTTATCATTGGCGTACCTGACCCGAGAATCGTATAACAACCGCATGAGCGGGTGAAGAAGTCGAATACCTGAAGGCACGTTCACCTGTGCTCCATGTCAAATGACACGTCCTCCGTTCGTATCTTGCGGTCCGATTTTCCTCACGATATCGTGTTGCCGATTAATCACATGTCTAAAAATACGCCTATTTTATATTTGTAATTGACTTAAGCTATATTTATAGGAACCAGACACATTGTGTTCCCTGTACGGTACCTGATGGCGATCATGGGCTCCATAGGGCTAGCCATCATTTACGGGTTCAAGGTGAACGTAAGTGTGGCTATCGTAGCTATGGTGAACCATACTGCTGTAAAATTATCCTCATTGCATCAATTGGAATATGAGAATACCACCACGGACGAGTGTAGAGTCGACGGTGTTACCCCCAATGCAACAAAATCTATTACCGAGGTATATAAATATGATATTAAAAATTCTACGTAACTACAGAGAAAACTTCCAATCGAAATACACTATTTTAAAATATTACGATTTTCTTGGTTTCGGATTCGATAAATATTCGAATACTTAATATTTAAATAACAGTATTTAAGAAATATATTTTTCCACTAGAAATTACCAAAGTCTCGAGTCTAGAAATATAATTTAGTTACATTTGATTTTTATTTATTATGTTTTAATATATTTATACATGTATAATTTATGTGTATGTATAATGTATATTGGGTTGTCAAGTTGTTCAAACCCAATTATATAGATTATTCTAATTATATAATATATGTATAATATGTTATTATATATATGTATTACATATATATTTACTGTATTTTTCTAGTTTCATATATAAAAAGTTATCAATTTATTTTCATTTTTGAAAGAATTTCGTATGCCAAATCTCATGAAATTATAGAAATTAATTTTTGGGAGAGGGACAGTTTTATTATTAATCCTTGTACGGTCAGATTATCCACGTTTAGATTATCCGAGTAGCAAGTTTCTATTGCGCACATTTATGTTAATCGCTATTAGCTACGTATAATCATCTCTGTTTATAAGGATATAATTGCTGACTTTTATCACGTATGATATTTACTCCGAGTCAATAAAAATACTGTTTTTACAGTGATTAAATACTTCGCTACATTAAAATCATATTTTATAACCTTTAAATTTGTAAAAAATAAGTAGTAAGGTTTTTCTTCAGGAAATTAGCATTTCCTTCCTTATGAAGTTATTTATAGAAGTGTACATATCATATGTATTACACGTATATAAATATTAATATTGATATAGATATATATATATATATATATAATTATATAAATATTGATATTTATATAAATTAATATTCATTATTGATATTTATATTTGTATTTATTATATTATTTGTTATATTATATTCATATTTATACACGTAGGATGGCCCATTTGTGTGGAATGAACCTTTACAAGGTCTTATTTTATCAGCATACTTTTGGGGATATATGGCATCCTTACTTCCGGGCGGGAGAATGGCTGAACTCTTATCTGCCAAATGGGTGATGAACGGATCGGTACTTCTGAACCTCGTCGCGTCTATATTATCACCTGTTGCTGCCCAAATGCATTATTCTGCCTTTATTGTGATGAGAATCATACAAGGAATCGGTGGTGTTAGTATCGAAATACCGTTATATGTTTGAAATAAATATTAAAATTAAATGTGAATATCATAATGATATTTTAAAAATTATGTTAAAACTATAGGGTGTAACGTTCCCTGCGATGCATGTTATGGTCGCTAAATGGGCTCCACCAAATGAGAGGAGCGTTCTTGCTTCCATCATTTACGCAGGTAAAACTTAAGATCGTAAATTTTCATTGGCCGAAATAATTAAATTTAAATAGAAAAATTAAAAAGAAAATTGAAATTCTAAATTATGATCGCGTTTTTTAAACAATTAAAAATTCGATTGTTTAATGGTATTAAAAATGCAATTTTTGATATACGTAAATGCAAAGGTTAAAATTTGTTAAAACGTCTGCGTATAATTTAGGTCATGTTCGTAATATCGCGACATATATATTTCTATTTTCTATAGGAACTGCTCTTGGCACTGTGATTTCTATACTCTTAACGGGAATATTAGCTGCGAATCTTGAATGGATGTGGATATTCTATATAGAAGGTGCACTTTGTCTGATTTGGTGTACAGCTTGGTGGATTATGATTGAAGATAGTCCAGAAGAGCAAACGAGATTTATTAGTCAAGAAGAAAAGGATTATATTGTGCACTCTTTAGGTCACGATAACAGTAGTAATGCCCATAAACAGGTTTGTTGATTTTTGTAAAAAGTATTTTCACTAAATTTTTGAATATATTTAATATATTATTTATCTGTATCTTCTAGAGATTAACGGTCCCATGGGGCGAAGTGTTACGATCTAAACCATTTATGGCAATATTAATCGCTCATTTCTGTAGTAATTTTGGGTGGTACATGTTGCTTATTGAGCTACCTACGTTCATGAATCAAATATTGAAATTCGACATGAGTTCTGTAAGTAAGATAATTTAACATAAATAGTTATAAATTTAGTCAATATTACTAATAATCTACTTTATCTCTAGAATGCTACTCTTTCTTCTATGCCGTTTTTATGTATGTGGATTTTTACTATGGTTCTTAGCAAGATATTAGCCATTATGCAAGATAAAAATTTAATCACGGTAACGATATCGAGAAAAATTGGAACATTATTTTGTAAGTTTACCATACGTATATATATATATCGGAAATATAAAATGAGACCTAATAATAATTGTTAAAAACATTTTTATTTTCAGCATCTGTTGTTCCCATGATTTGTTTAATAGGAGTGTCATACGTTGGGTGTAATCGAACATTAGCTGTTACATTAATGACTATTGGAGTAACTTGTATTGGTGGTATGTATAGTGGGTTTTTATCAAACCACATAGATATTGCTCCAAATTTTGCTGGTACTCTTGTTGCCATTACAAATTGTGCTGCTACTGTACCTGGATTCGTAGTGCCAATATTTGTGGGAAAATTGACGCACGGAAATGTAAGTATTTACAATAAAATATTATTAACTATGATACATACAATATTATTAATATTATTACCATACAATTTTTCAATAGCAAACTATAGGAGCATGGAGAATTATATTTTTTGCAACTGTTGTCTTGTACATAATCGAGATATTAGTTTATACTATATTTGGAAGCGGAGAAGAACAGCCTTGGAACAAAGCTATACCAACTGATGAAGAAGCAACTGATCAAACACTACCATTAAAAGATAATTCTAGAAAATGAATATAATTTCAAAATATACAATTTGAACTGATTTTCATCACATAATGTTATTGTGAACGTTGTGTTAATAATTTTGATATATAGACATTGGTATTATTTAAATATTTAATATCATTAACAAAGCGTTATTTTCATTACATTACTCTCAGTCGATCATGCTATTTCCTTTTTGTATAAATTTTTTTTCATTCTGTATATTATTTATTGTAACAAATAATAAAATACAATTATAACTTCTTTTTATTACGATTAAATACTATATATTAAATATATTTAAAAAAAATTAAATATTTATTTAAAAGTAATATATTACATACTTACAGTGATATTTACATTGAAAGTACAAATTACTTAATTACTTGATCTTAACTATGATTAATTAATCATTTAAGATCACTGTACTTTTACTATTTTACAAAAATACATTGGTCCCCAATTATTTTGAATAGTAGGTATAACGATATGACCATACTTTACATTATTCTTACCAAAGTTATATAGATATCGTAAGGGTAATAATGCTTTTGTCATATCTCTACAAAAATCATATATTATATTAATATAAACAGTAATAGTAGTGAGATTATATAATTACAGAAAACACATACTTTACAACTGTAACAATATCATTTTCTTGCCATGCCTTTTGTAATGTTGCTTGTATAACACCATCATTTTGTACAGGACTAAGAGTGCACGTTGAATAAACAACCGTACCACCCACTGTTACTAGTTTCAATGCATTTCTATAAAAGGAAAATTCAATTATATGTTGTAAAAAAATATGTTATAAAATATAGTTTATCTACTGACAACAAAATTTCCGACTGAATTGTTGGTATTGTTAATCTTTCCTTAACTCTGTTTGGTTTAAAAAGATTGTCCACATCGGAATGTAATACGTGCCTATCTACTGTACATGGAACATCAACTAAAATCTAAGGAAATTGATAGATGTAAGTTTCATTGAATTTGACAAAATGTTAAATATTAAATATTATGATAAGATGTATACCTTATTATATACACCTGTTTCATCAATTCTTCTAGCATCTCCTTGTTTTATTATTAACATATTTTCTCCTTTATAAATATCAGAAGTATATTGATTCATAATCATTTTAATTTTATTCACTTTAGATTCTTTAATATCATTAACAACCAATAAACGAGGCATAAGAGTCTGAAGAATAGTTAAAGCTTTCCCTCCAGGTGCAGCACACATATCAAGTACAGTATCACCTAACTTTATATCTAATGCTAATATAGGAAGTATAGATCCTCCATCAAATAAATAATAATCTAAAAGACAATGTAACAATAAAATATTAGAAAGCATTCTTAGCATCATTGAAATTGAAGAAAACATAACAAACCTGAAACACCAGTAGATCCTTTTTTAGCAGATGGAAATATAGCTTTATTTCCTTTTTCAAAACTATATGCGTGCAGATGTTCTGGAAATGGTAGAACAAATTCTCTCTCAACATTTATATTAAAATCTTCACCTTTATGATAAAATTTATAATGGTCAGAATTCATAACCCATTCATCCATTCCTACAAAATACATAAAAATATGATATTTTGAGATCAATTCAAGGAATATATGTTTATATATGTATTAAACAAACCCTTTATTTCTGTAACAGGTACATATTCTTGAAGACTAGATAAATTTACAGATGGGTCAACGATACGATCATGATCTAAATTAACTTCATTTAAATTTTTATCTATAGACAATAGTTCTACAAACTCATTTTGTTCATCACTTTTTTCAAGTTCACTTCTTTTAGCATTTAATGATTCACATAAATCACGATAATTATTAAGATTAACTGGTTGAAGTTCTGTTAACTTGTCCTTAAATATTTCAACTTCTTCTGGATTTTTAATTTGTAGCGTATCGATTTTAGCTCTTCTTTTAGCTTTGGCATCCAACTTTTCTTTTCGTAAATTATACAAAGATTTTAAATTTATTGCACCAAGTAACTGAAACAATTTTATTTATATAAATCTTTAGTATTCATAAAAATTTTATTTTACAATTTTATAATTTTGTAGTACTATTAATACTGAAATAATATACCTCCAAATTAGATCGAACTCTTTCCGTATCACTAAAATTATTAACAATCGCCATGTATTTCGATTCTTCTTCTAATAATGCACATCGTATATCTGGCCATGTATCCTCATAAACGGATGCATAAAAATCGTCAAAGTGTTCTAATGCTTTATCCATTACCGTTTTCCGTTTTCTCACTACAGACTATAAAAACAATTATATATATTCTTCAATGTATCGAAAAATATCCGAATTTTAATCATAGGGTTATAAAGATACAAACCCAGTGATCCTTTCCATGTTTATATCGAACAGATACTTTTACAACTTGTCTCGATATTAATTTATTAAATAATAGCGCCATTTCCTTCAAATATATGAAAGTAATCGATTCAAATGTTTACAACTTGCCTAAATTACATCTCTAACTATAATTGTATCGTCTGGATTTTGGGGGACGAGGAAACAGAGGCGGCGGCAAAATTCGTTACTCGATATCACTACTTGATGGCGCTGGCTGTGCATTCAATTTTCTTTCGAACGCAAGAAGTGGTCGACGTCGATTAACCGTTAGTGAGAGCGGTGTAAAAGAAGAAGGGCGTGAACCGGTGTGAACTGCAGGTACAGGTGAAACAGGACAACCGACAAATCCACGAGTTACGGTACTACCGGTGCTACTTGACTAACACTGGACGTCACATCTTTTTTAGCAGTCCAGCGTTTAGTTCTGCGTAAACCATTCTTTTCCTACTTTGCCGACTTTCTTTATCGCAACTTGTACAGCTCGAGATGCAAATAAAAATGAAATAGGTACACGCATATACGCGTACACGCAATACGTATCGAACTATGTATCATATCAGATGCAGACGACAAGGAAGCGACGTATTTGTCGTGACATCGAGATGAGAAACGTGCCGAGCAAGATGGAGTGAATGGGGGTGGTGGGGATGGGGACGAACACATCTTTGTGCTCCCCTCTTGCGAAGGCGCTCGTGCGCCGTGAAACGTGGCTGTTTCGAAAGTTCCTACTCGAAGAACCTATTTTAGATGCTATAAACCATTTCGACTTGTAAATCGTTTTCGGAGGTGTACAAGGCCCGATACCTGAACAATAGAATTGGAACGTATCCCGGGTAACCTCAAAATCTGTCTCATAATTTACGACGCAATAACGTACGATTTTAAATTTCTCAAAAAATATTCCGTTGCATAAATCTTGCAGGGAATATTTTTCGAAAATGCACGAACCCCTGTGTGAATCGCGCGATGGGATTCGAAAAAATTCCACCGTGCCTTCGAAGTGAGAAATGTAAATTGAGAATCGAGTGAGGCCGACACGATAATCTTGTTACCCTCGAAACGCGTACAACATACCGGTGAAAGTCTCCACTGTAGAAGGTAGACGCGAGTTCAGTGTTCTCGAGGGGAACGAAAGGAGAACGTCGTGGCGCAGGAGATCAGCTCTTTTACTTCCAAGTGAAGATCAACTCTAGCCCATGGGGTGCGGTATACCCTGTGTGCCCAGAGACACACACCTCGTCGATACTTTCGTGTTCATTGTCACGCATACAGAAACTCTTCCTCTCGATGAATCTCGACGACCCGAATCGCTCGACGGCGAAGCTGGTTTCGTGGATCTCTTCATGAGAGGCACGTCGTACGCGATTTGTCGGGGCACGGGGTGTGACGGGGACTCGAGGGATCGTAAAGGCAATGCACTGTAAGGAGCTCACGACGACTATACCCTCCCCCCGCCCCTCGGGCGCGCTGGTGCGCGCGCGCGCACGGCGTCCTCCCTCTCGTTCTCTCGCCACCGTCCCTTTCTCTCCCTTCTTTCTTCGCTCCCTCCCACCCTCCCTCGCGTCATGCCACCATCTCTCTTTCTTCCCCTCGCACCATCTCTCTCGCTCCTTCTCTCTGTCGCTCTTATCAGGGAACCTCGACAGTACGACCTCACTCATACTCTCTCGTTCTATTGCTCGCTCGGCTGATCTCTCGAGGAGGGCGCGTTAGGGCGCTCGCCAGCCACTCGTGCATCTTCTCATTCGTACGTTTCGAAATTTCTTCGATACCCAATGAAATTTCCTGCCCTCTCGGAATCGCGGCATCGCGCGTTTCCCTGTTCGCATTAGGCCCGGTTCGCATGTCGCGCGAAGGGAAACACCGGGGCCAGAGGACTCGGAAGTTACGACATCCGGTACACAATACTACCGTTTCCTGTCTCTCGTGACCCTTGGTCCCACTTGGTCTAGCCCACGTGACCCCACCGCTCCGCCTCGCGCAGTTTCGATTTAACACGCGCGCCTCTAACTGCCGTGGCGCCGCGCGCACGCAACCTCCAACGTATATATCGGCACGAATTTTTTTCAAACCCGTTCTCGAACCCTTTCTCGACGGTATCGTCCGACGAGTCTCGCCTAGATACGCGCGCTTGTATAAAAAAAAAAAAAAGCAGACTCGCGCAACTCCTTTGTACGTTTATAAGGGCTCGATTTATCCTCGTGAGAATTGCCCGATCTCCTATACGTCGGCGGCCACGCACTCGGCACTGCGCATCGGCACAATACATTCGCCACAATAGGTGGTTGATTCCTTTCTAAATCTCCGCATTTCCTCGCGCGGTTGATGGCTGAAGCGCGGATACATTCACCGCGGTAGCGACCGATTGTTCCGCAGGGGCATGCGTGGCGCCCCGTGTCTGGAAAAGCTGGTACTATAAAACAGGCGAAATCAGAATGATTTCGACTTTTTCGTTGTCACCGTCCTACGCCTGCTACACTCGGGCGGCGGGCCTCCCGTCGTCACGTGCATGCATGCGTGCATGCGTACATCGCGGCATGGAGAGTGCATACATGCGGGGTCGTTGAACGAGCAGGGGGTACCGAGGACAACAGTAACGACTGCACCAACCCACTTGTCTCGACCCTATACAAGTCACGTGCACGTACAGTGCTCGGCAATAATGGTCCCCAGAGGGTGTGACCTATTCTATATGCTGGATTCTCGCGCGCGCGATCGCCCGACTTGCTGGTACCAACATGCTCTGGTACCAGCGCGACTCCCCATGGAAAACTTCCACTACGAATAGCAACATTTCACGGTATAGAGACGTTTCGAGTGCCATTGTTGTGTCTACTGACGAATAAATCGGGACAATTTTTTTATCTCTCCGTTTCTCCTCGATTCGACCTTTTATTATCTTCGTTTATTATTTATTATTCCGTTTAATATCTTATTAAATATTATTATACCGTGACAGTTTTGAAAGGAATTTTAATTAGGTTAGGTTTACACGTGTCAGACATTCCCTCTCCTTATAAGAACGTTTTACAATATGGCGACGTTACGAGTTCCATTATCGTATCTATTAGTATAAAATTTTGGGGGTTAGGTGAAATATGGAATATTTTTTCGCTTTTTCTTGCCACCATATTAGATATTTTGCAATTCTTAAATATTATTCATTCCATTTTCGATTATTTTCGAATATCACGATTATTTATCGCCATTAAGTGGAATTTTACGTCGAATTGGCACTAAATTTACTGTTTATAAATCGTAATAACCTTAACTCAGATTATTAATTCATTTCGATGATTTCGCTGGAAAGAAGTGGTAACAACGCGAAAACTAACCTTAAATTCTGTCATAAATTTTATAAATTTTCTCTCAGCCTCGAATTGACGCGAAATTTACAGTTCGTAGATCGAAATAAAACGATCGTTAATTCATTTCGATGATTTCGCTGGAGGAAAGGGGTAACAACGGGAAAGCTAACCTCAAATTCAGATAAATTTTTGCTCGACATCATCCAGCCGTGAAACCACGATATTATCCCTTAAATTCCAGCTCCCCTCTTATCGATACCGATCTTTCCTCCCGACTGATCCGATTTCGCGAGCTGCGAGTCTGAGATATGGCGCGAAAATTCAAACGAGCCACGATCAACGTGGACAAATTTGCCGCGATTAGAAGCCGGTAAATGGCAGATTTATCGATGTTAGCGAGCGAGGTGATCGTAAACCATTCTCAAGCTCGCTGAACCGGCGATACTTTGTTGCAAGACACGCCTCTCCCTCTGTCTCTCTCTCTTTGTCCCGGCTATTACTTTCTTGGACGAATTTAGCGTGGTGAAGTCCCACTCGTTTAAATATTTTGAGCCCCTCGAGCTCGAGATATTCTCTCCGTTGGTGGATTGCGAAATACGCGGCTCGGACGGTGCCGGACGATGTACGAGGACGAAAGTAGGTAGGTAGGTAGGTAGGTGGGCAGACGGAAGTCAGTTTAACGGTATCACCTGAGAGTTCAGTCAGGCTTCGATCCTTACGCGTGAAACGGGGTTTCACGAAATTCGTAGTTTTCTCCGGGCTTTCTCGCTGCCTTTGATGCACCTTCGATCTTTTATGAGTTTTTCCTCGTTTTTTTCTCCCCCATGACGCGGACGCCCACCTAGGGAGAGGGAACAGGGAATTTTTCGAGCTGCTCCGGGAACTACCACTGTAACTGCCGTGGTCGTTACACGCCCACCATTGAATCGGACTTAGAAAAGAGCATCGGATGCATTCCTTCTACTCTTCCAAGGGCTAGTCGTGTTCCCCTTTTTATGGCGATGTTTAGGCAGACATGACCAGAATTTACGGGTTTGTCGCGCATTTTAATCCGGCACTGCTGCTGGGTGGCAACTCGAGGAGTTTACGAAATGGATCATTTCGTTGGGTTTGTGTAGAGCAGTTAATATCGGGAAAGGTGGACAAAGTAAGCCTGATTTTCTGACACGGTGTTCACCGTGGATTCGAATATCTCCAATTTTCTATCTTTGAACGTATTCTAAATACGTTATATTGAAAATTCTAACCTTAAAGAGGTTAGGAAATTAATCTTGGACTACTAATATGGTTTTTCAATTAACATAATTTTTTTACTTTTTATGTTGCTTGTATATAGAGGTTAGGAAATTAATCTTGCATTTTGAATTATATATTTAGTATTATAACGTTTCTCAAATTTCACGTTTTATGTAACCCTTATTTGAGATCAATCTTGACCTTCATCGTTTATTACAATTTTCGCCGTCTTTTAGCATAAAATATAGTGATTTATATAGAATTGAAAATTACTAAATCAGTATTCCCATCATCTCTGAATTTCAAGATAGTATTTACAAAAATTTTCCTCCGAATAACTCGAATTTTCTGTTTTTGATCATATTCTAAGAGGTTAGGAAATTAATCTTGGTATATTAATATAGTCCTCCAGTTAATATAACAATTTTTCAATTCCTCTTTTTCTAAAAATCCTTATCTTGGTGTGTTTTATAGAGAGGTTAGGAAATTAATCCAGGTTGTTTAATATAGTATTTACCATTCATCAAAATTTTGTATCATATAGTTAGTATTATAACGTTCTTCAAATTTTCACATTTCATGCAATCCTTATTTAACTGTACTCTAT